CAGACAGCAGATCTTTGCCAAGAGCTTTGGCAATGCTTCTATCCCCTCCCCCACCCTGCTCCTGGGAATGGTTAAAGCAGAGTGGAGTCTGTAAAGAGTTTGATGTCCAAAGAGGCTATCTAAAACAGCAAAACTTGGAAAGAACCTAAATTTTTAAAACCAGGAACTGGTTAAGTAAACAATGGTACCATCATTGAATGATTATTGTGCAGCCACAACAAGTGTGCTTCAGAAGGAGCCAGAAAACGTTATTAAATCGTGCTGTGTGAAAAAGAGAGGATAGAAAATGGCAGGGAGGGAATAATTTTTACTTTTTTAAAGATCCTACCCAGAGTAGAAAATAACTGGCAGACAAAGGAACTATAACCTGGGGTGGGGGGAGGGGCTCCTCCTCTCCCCCCTGACCCCCCTTCATCTATCTGCTCTGCCCTGATAGGCTGGGGGAGCCCAACATTCTCTTTGTGTTGCTCACCTCCACATTCTCCTTTGTCTTGCAGATTTCATGGAGAACAGATACTCCGTAAGTACAGACGCGTGTGCGTATTTGTGTACAGACGTGTGTGTCTAAATAGCCCCCTGTACAGAGAACTGTATCCGGACTCACCCAAGTTCTGCATTCCACGCATTTCTCCCTGTACCAGCCTCATCTCTCTTAGACCAGGAGCTCCTCTGACCAGATAGCTTTTCTGGGCCAGCTGTGATCTGGAATATTCGCTCCCACTGTTTCCAGCCCACAGTGAAGGGAAACCTGGAAGCCCCCCACTGAAGGATGGGGGACCCGGGCACTGAGCTGCAAATGAGCAAAGGAGGCGTTTGCTTCTGGCCGCAGGCTCAGACTTGGGAAGTGAGGCAGATTTGAGCCCCTGCATGCAAGGATGGTACATGCGACTGCTTATCCAGCCCTAGGTCCAGGCCAGTCACTGTTCCACAACAGGCCCCTGCTGCAGGAGACACCCACAGTCCCAAGTTATCGTTGGTTAGGCAGGAGAAAACAGCTCCACCAGAGACCGGAGCATGGACGTGACCTGCTGCCCCAAGGAGGGGCTGTCTGGGTAGGCCGTGAATGAGTCGGTCCCAGCAGTGCCCCGTAGAGGTGTCAGCAGAGCAAAGGTGTCGTGGTAGTTTCAAGCAGTTCAGAAAAGACAAAGAGGGAACAGTGAGAAGGGGTTGGGAGATAAAGGAGGGCTCCGATGTGAAGGACTAGAAGCCCTCAATTAGGAGGTTTTTATTCTACAAATAATAATAATAATAGGGAATTTAAGAAGCTGCCGTTAGGCAAATGGGAATGTTTAAAAGAATTGTGGAGGGCCAGGTTGGGCTTTTACCAAGCCCTGTCTTCCCTCTCCTGCTCCCCAGCTTTCGAGGAGCTCCCCAGAGCACAGAGCGTGGGTGGCGGCCAGCACCTCAAGGAAGGAGGGGGTAGACTCATGCACTGCTGCTTTAAGTTCTGGAAAGAACTTTGTGCCAAGCTGCCAGTTGCCCTTGCACAGGCCTCCGGCTTCCTTTGTTTTGCCCAGCCTGGATTCTTGTAAAACGGAGCTCGTTATACTTTTGACGGACAGGAAGTCACTGACGTTTTTTTTGTGGAAGGTTGCTATCATTTAAGGAAAAGAGAAATGAAGTGCGTGTCTTCTTCTAGCTGAAACCCAAGCCAGCTCCTAGACCAGAGACAGTTGCAGTGGTGGGGCAGGGAGGAAGAGGTATAGATGAGAAAACCGAGGTCTGAGTCAGCAAACAGTATGTCCAGCCGGCTGATGGCCGCACCAGGACGAGGCCCCACGTCTCCAGACGCCCTGGGCAGCCCCAAAGTCGTGTTGCTGTCTTAGCCACCAAGACCTGCAGACAGTAAGTAGTCAAGGCATCTTGGCTTCCTGCGCAGTGCAGGGCCTGAATAAAGAGAAGTTCAGCTGCGAGAAGCACGCTGTGTCTACTCAGCGGGTCCACTCAGCTGCAGGCCTTGTTTACTTTGTCTTCAGTCCAAATGGTCTCGCTGGACAAAGGCCCTGAGCTCCCTGGCCCGTGTGCCCCGAAGTCTGCTCCCAGGATGCTCCTCCTATTAGACCTCCCCTCCCACCAAAAAAAAATTAAGCTGTTTGGTGGGAGCACAGAGCCTCCCAGCTGTGGGGAAGGGGGGTTTGAATCTTTAAGCGGCTGCATTTTGTTTATAAAAGAAGCAGGTATCGTTTCCCTAATAATCAGGTAGTGAGGGTCAGGAGAAAATTAATTGAATTGCCTAGCAGGGAAATGGGAGGGGATTTCCTTCCTGAAATCAAACCTGGCGATCATTCCCTCTTGTTTAATGGCCTTTGCTTTTGAAAACATATTGGAGGAAATATCTTAACAATGAGACAGTCACTTAGCCAAATACTAATTTAGCATTGTTTGACTGGCTTCAATGGCACATTCTGACTTCATTTTTCCTCTGCCATTTTTGCCTTGTTTATAAATCGTGTTTGTGAGCAATGCAGACAGATAACAAGAAAGAGAACACCCTGTACTCGCAGGGGTGAATCTGGACCTGCTTGGGTCTGGGATCTTGGAGAGAACCTGTCTTCTTGCAAAGGTGACTCCTCCCTCCTGGGAGCCAGCGGGCCCTGGGTGCCAAGTGAAGCTCCCAGGAGCTGGGACCCAGCGTCTGAGTGAGGGTCCGGCTCGCCAGTCTGGTGTGGGTGGTCCTGTCTTCCTCCAGCCTAAGTTCCTCATCTGCAAGATGAGGATAGTGCCACCGTCTCGCAGGTTGGCCTTCAGGGTTAGCGGAGATGAGCGTGTGCTTTTCTCTGTCCCCTCCCCGCCGCCCTGTGAACACTAGTGGATGATCTATCTTAAATGCTGTTCTTCAGCCCCTCTGGGAGCACAGATGAGAGATTTTCTTCACTTGGCCCTGAAATACCCATTCACAGTAGGGGGTGGAGCAGTAACTTACCCAAAGCCCAGCCTTTGACTTGGGAGTCAGACACCCACACTCAAACGTTGCTTCCCTTCACTCCCATGTGTTAGTTATGTCGCTGTGGGCGGGAGGCCTAATCTTGCTGCGTCTCAGTTTCCTCATCTGTTAATTGGAGGTTGTGACCCCCCCTCACAGCCCCCAGTTGTTGCAAGGATGAAATGAGCCTCAAGCATAGACCTGGCCTGTTGGAAGTGCTCTAGGATGTACTTTCTAGAAGCAGGAAGGAGAAATCCTGGGGGTGAGAAACAGCGTGACCGCTGAGAGCTCACACACCATGTTCTGGCCAGGAAAGGGGACTTCAGGGCTGTAGCTGGGGAGCCAATGGCTGGTGCCTGACTTAAGCACAGGCCCTGGCTATAAGCGTGTTAACCTCCCTTTGAAATCTCAAAAGCCCAGTTGAGCGAGGCCCAGCCCTTCCTGTCTGCAGGGTAGATACTGCAGCAGCTCCCCAAGCGCTGGATTCCTGAGAGGGAGCAAGGGGCCTGGGGAGGGACTTGGTCTGGGGCCTGCAAAAGCCTGGCCACCGGCCGAGGAAGTGGGGCGAGGGCAGCTGCCAGGGCTGGCGGGCCTCCAGCCCTCTGGGGCCCACATAGTGCTTGGCCCGCCTGCCGGGTCTCTCCTGGCAAGGACTTGCTGACCCTCCGGCTGGGGCCCCTTGGGCCTGCGTCCTGTTCCAAGAGGCATCTCAGATCCTGCAGCGCCAGAACAAAACAGTGACGGTCAGCCCACCCTCGGGGAGCCAGCCAGTCCGTGGCTCCCTAGGGCTGGGCCGATCCCCGCCACTTCTCCTGCTCCCAAGTTCCGCCTGAGCTCATGGAGTGCAGGGCAGTGGACTCAGATGCTGCCCACTTTTGGCTCTTCGGCGCCAGCATTTCCAGCACCCTCCACTCTCCATCCACCTTCCCGCCCACCACGAGGCCAGTTCCTCGGTGACGGCTCCAGAGCCTCCTGTGGCTCCTCGGTGCCTGGCGAGGGTCCCCTCCCCACCTCTGAAGAGCTTCCCAGCTTCACCTTCTCCTCCCAGCACCTTGTTTGCCAATCATGGATGAGTCATAACATTCTCCACAGCAGCAGCTGGCATCCTCTGGTAGATAACAGGGCCCAGGAAAGCTGGGGTCCTGTCCCTGGTGGGTGGATGCAAACACCTTATGCAGCATTTCAGGCAGGACAGCACACAGGACTTCTTGTTTGTTTGTTTTTTGTTTTTTTTTTTTAAGATTTATTTATTTGTGCATACAGACCTGGGGTACAGGCCAGAGGCTCAGGGGCGGTGAGAGGCTTCACCAGAGACAGAGTGGGGAGCAGAACAGGCTGACTGACAAAGTACACTGCTGAGGGGAGCAGCAGGCGGGTCAGGAGAGGTCTGCCACGCCATGTGGTCACCTCCAGGGCAGGCGGGGATCGAACTCATGCGGAAGTGGCTTTAGCTTCTCAGTGCTGTGCTTTAACCCGCTGCGCCACCAGGGAGGGCCTCTTCTTTGTTTTTATCGTGGTAAAATAGACACCACATGAAACTTACTGTTTTTATCCCTTTTAAATATACAATTCAGTAGCATTAAGTCCAACAGGCATCTCCACCATCCAGCCATAGAACCTTTCGTCATTCCAGGGGTTCTATTCCACTCGACACTGACCTTCTCCCCCAGCTCCTGGCACCCACTGTTCTGGTTTCTGAGTCTGAACTTGACCACTCTGGGGGAATCTCACACTATGTCTGTTTGTGTCTGGCTTATTTCACTTTCACTTGGCGTAATGTCTTTAAGGTTTATCAGAATTTCATTCCTTTTTTTTTTTAAGATTTATTTATTTATGTATACATACAGAACTGGGACAAAGGCTAGAGGCACAGGGAGGTGAGAGATTCACCGGAGACAGAGTAGGGAGCAGGCCAGGCAGATCTACAAAGTACACTGCCGAGGGGAGCAGCGGGGAGACAGGAGAGGTCTGCCGCGCCATGTGGGTCAGCTCCAGGGGGGGATCAAACTTGCACTGAGGTGGCTGCAGAGAGCTTGCAGTTCTGCGTCCTAACCCGTTGTGCCACCAGGGAGGGCCAGAATTTCATTCCTTTTTAAGGCAGAATCATACATCTTGAAACATGTAACTAGACAAGCTGAGCTCAGTTCTTCATTTATTAATTAAAAACAAAACAAAACAAAACAAAAACAGACCTAGAACAGGAACCTTCCCTGTTGAAGGCAGAACTGGAACAGAAACCAGGTCTACCTTAAGTCGCATTCCTCTTCCTCTGTGGGGAGTCTCGGAGCCTGAGGGTGCTGGGTGAGGCTGGCTGATGGCCTGATGTGTGGCTTGTATGGGGGAGTTGAGGCTACAGCTGTTCAGAGCAGGCCCACAGGGAAGAGAGAGGCTTCCTCCTGCCGGCTGGGGCTGCTGCCGCCTTCAGTCCTGGGGTGTGACCACCTTGTCCTGTCTCTTGCCACCAGAGAACGGAAGGCTCCCTGGATGGAACTTAGGACTGTGAGGCAGAGGCTCGCCCCTGGGAGGGCAGGCACGTTCCAGGAAGAGCAGACGGTCCCTGTATTCCAAGAACTCTGTGCGCTTCTTCATGAACCTGCCCCGCTCCCACCAAACACGGCGATGCCTCAGGCCACGTCTCCAGCTCCTCACCCCTCCTCCTGCATGTAAGAACTATCGGGAGCATAGAGGGGCCGGTTCATTTCCCACGCGACCCACGTCACCCAGGCGGAGTGTCCTCAGGAGTGGTGAGTGGCAGATGGAGGTTGAGGGTCATCAGGCCATTGGGATATTTTGAAACTTGAATATTTTGTCTTGTACAGAGATCAGGAACTTTTCCAAGTACCCTCATCCCCAGAAACCTGTTCTTGCTGTCCCTCCCAGCAAGTGACCTGGCTTAGGGACTAGTCTCTTTGTCTGCTTTTGGTCCTTCGAGGGCCTGTGGTTCACCGTGCTGGTCACACAACTGCCCCCTCTCCATGACCTTGATCTCCATGACCTTGACCTCCACCGATGGGAACACAGAGCTGCTTGGGAGCAACATCTGAGAAATGCCAACTTGAAGACAAAGTTCATCCCATTCTGGGCAAGGCACGAGACAGAAAACGAAGTGGAAAAAGCACAGATGTTCTTCAGCTCTTTCCTACACCCTTTCTTACTTTTCCTCTCCTCTGCTGCAGGCTGGAAGACAGGAAAATGGTTGCCTACAGCACAGATTTTTAATAGAAAAATCAAAATGCCTATTTTTCTTACTAATTTTTTTTTTTAATTTATTCCTTGCTAAGGAAATGGTCTCCTGAGGTTTTAAGATGTTTCTGATTGTGTCTTGAGATGGGGCAGAGGGCCTGTGGCCATTCTGCTGTGGAATTGCATGGGTGTACACACGCAGCACACATCTTCGGGAACCCATTCCCGCCCCCACCCCCCACCCCGCACCCCACAAGTGACATGGCTCCGGGGAACCTGTGGGGTGTTGTATTAAATAAATTTGATCTTTACTCTTCACGGACCTGTGAAATGTCATCTTCTGACACAGAGTGTAATGGCCTCAGGCCCTCTGGAGACAGAGAATACCCAGTGGGTCTCCTCAGCCAAGGGCCCCAGGGTCCCCTGGAGTCAGGCCCCCAGGGAGCCTGAGCCAGAGAGTGCTGCCGGCTTCCCAGCCCAAGAAGCCAAGTCTGTCCCTGGTATAGAGAGGTGGTCAGGCTGAGCCAAAGACACCCCAAACGAGAACATTCTAGAATCCCTAGTTAAACGTGAATTTGGGTTCAACAGCCAGTCATTTGGGGACATAAGTATGTTTCCTGTAATGTTTAGGACTTTAGAAAAATATTCATGTATCTGAAATTCAAATTTAATTAGGCTCCTCTTTTATCAGGCCGTATACTGGCAAAGCTCCCTCCTACAGCCACCCCCAAGGCCTCAGGACCCACCCTCCCCGGGCTCCCCAGACCTCTCTGGATCCCCACTGGGCGGAGGAGAACTGGGGGTGTGCTCTCCAGATTCCAGCTGCAGAAACTGTGGAGCCTTTTCATCTCCAAGCCTCAGATTCATGCCTCAAACAGGAAATGAGGCTGATGTTTCTGAGCACTTGGGGGGTAAAAGCCTCAGACTCCCACACACCACATGCATGAAGTTCTACCGTGGAAATGTAATACGGTTATCCCGTACTCAGGCCGTGGACTCAGGAAAGAGTCAAAGAGTAGCTGACCCCTAAAGACCTTCACGTCTCCCGCTGGGCGAGTCAATGACCTGGGGAGAGCCCAGAGGTGTCAGCTCAGACCCACGCTGCCTTAGGAATAGGGCTGCTGCCCAGAGACTGGGGGACCCTCTTCCTGCACTTATGCCTTATTTGTGGAGCATGAATAGGCTTTTCGTTATTTTTCCACTCTGCCTCCTCTATTTCAGACTAGGACAACAAACACATAGAATCACTGTAAATGCAATGCTTAAAAATCTCCACAAACATTGGACCCTGGCTTCAGCTGTCATAACCAAAAGTCTGAATCTGAGCTCATGGCTTAACTGGACATCCGGTCACCACTTCCAGGAAAGGCCGGAAACTGGTGACCTAGAGCTCCCTCTGGTGTCCTGCCATTGGAACAGGTCACTGACAGCCTTAAAATGCTCCTCAGCAAACACGCAGTTGCCGGAGACCAGGGGCCTGTGTGAGCACCCCTCAGCATAACTCATTAACTCAACTCTTGCTCCTTGCGGTGAACTCAAGATGAGCTAAGCGACACCAAGGTCATTCTGTCAGGCAAGCAGTGGTTTTCCACCAGGGTGGTTTTGCCTTGGGGCTCAGGGCAGTGTCTGGGGGGGTATTCTTCATGGTCATAGCTGGGTGGGTGGGTAGAAGTCAGGGACCCTGCTAAATGCAAAGCCCAGGACAGCATGGTGACAAAGAGCCTCCAATCCAAGATGGCGGCGGGACAAGGTTGGGAAACCCACGAAGAAGCAGCCGGTTGTTCATTTCTTTCCTGGCAGGCTGGTGGCCACCATTCTGTGTTCCCCATATCAGTGGGAACGGGTGTAGCCTTCTGGTCCTCACAACCTTGGAACAGACAACCCAGAGGAGTTGGGAGCCAGGGACAAGGGTGGGATAGATGGTGTGATGGAGAAATTCAAAGCAAATAGGGGAGCGTGGAAGCTGATTCTAACACTGACTTTGCGGGGGGGGGGCAGTGCAAGAGCCCAAGAGGAAGTTGGATCTATCCTAAGACCTGGAGGGAGGTAGAGGAACCCAGGTAGGGGTGAGGAGCATGGCAGACAGTGGGGGTGGTGTGGGGGGGTTGTGTGGACTATACGTATAAAGACCTTGAGGCCAGAGAAGAGGTGTCCCAGAAGAACAGCGGCTTCACGCTGGACCCCCGTTGGTCAGATTCATGTTTTGGAGTCTCTTATGAAGAAGGGAGCTGGAAGATGTACAGCAGGATTCAGCTCCTGTGCGCAGTTCCTGTGAAGACCCTCCACTATGTTGAAGAAAAGGGCAGACCCAGCACTGCTACACCACGTGGCTCAAGTGAAAAAGTATGGGGGTGCTGAGAAGGGGGAGGTCATGCCCAGGAGGCAGTTTGCAGGGAGTGTCCACAGCTGGGGCCACGGAGTGAGGACTGGGGTGAAGAGTACCAATGACTCCCCGAGGATGGGTGCAGTAAGTTGCATGAGTTTTCTGGGAGAGTATCCACAGCTTTTACCAGTTTCTCAGAGATATGATCCAAAGAGAGGTGAGAAACTATGAAATAGTTAAAAACCATGTCTGTGCCATCTGATTTGATGTCACTGAAAACCCAGAATGAGTGATTAACCCCTTTCTTACCAAAAGGACTTCACGGATGTTCTAGTCCAGTATCCCCAGTGAGACTTGGGCTTGCCTTGAAAAAAAATTGCTCAGAGCAAAGAAATTCACGGTGATTTCGGTGTAAAGAGACAGTGCTCATCTCTTAAAAAGTAAGAGGCACTTCCATAGGATTCAGCAATCCCCCTCCGAGGGATCTACCCACTGATTCAAAAAGACACCCGCACCCCCATGTTTATTGCTGCTTTATTTACAATTGGAAAGACATGGAAACAGCCCAAGTGCCCAAAAGTGGATGGCTGGATTAAAAAGATGGAGTACATATACACAATGGAATATTACTCAGCAACCAAAAAAGTAAACACATGCCTTTTGCAGCAACATGGATGGAGCTGGAAGGGATCAGGCTTAGTGAAATAAGCCAGAAAGAAAAGGAAAAATACCGGATGGTTTCACTCATAGCAGGAGTGTAAAGGACCAGGCGAGAAAGCAAAAATAATAAGCAACTATAGACCAGAGACATTTTACGGGTGTGGAGTAGGGAATGGGGTCAAAAACAGTAGGGGGAAGGAAATGCACTGGACTATAGTGATGGCACAGGGGTGATTTGGTGAGGGGAAGCCCACGGGGATTACAACTGAGATGGAAAAAGGCACAAAATGATGTAAAAATAAAATATTATTTAAAAAATATATAAGGTAAGAAGCTCCTAGACTGCTTTCTACACACAGGAATAAATTGATTGAAACAGTTCACAGCCCAAGGTCTTCCCAAAGCCCTTTGCCTTCATACAGAGTTCACAACTCAATGGAAAATCAATCTTTCCTCAAGGTGACTTGGGCAATAGGCGAGAAGGTTTCCTTTCATTTCACAGAGGATGAAGGATGCTGGAAAGCAAAGGAAGAAAAGTGAAAGGCAAGTTGGTCACAGGCAAGGCTGTGACTTGGGACACGTCGCCCCCGCGGGATTCTCCTGCCAGTGAACTGTACTTATTCTTCAAGCTGCCACAGCCTGTCACCATGAACCATGACTTAAACAACAGAAGCCCAGATTCCCTCCTTCTGGAGGCCAAAAGTGAGAAACCAAGAAGGGACAGTATCATGCCCTCTGAGGACCCCGGAAAGGCACCTTCCTCTCCAATGCGTGTTCTGCTGGTGGCTGGTAGCCCTCGGTGTCCCTGGATAGGGTGTGGCACCACCATCTCCTGGCCTCTGCCTCGGTGCCTTCTGGTGGACGCCGTCCCTGGAGGTCGGGCCATGCTGACCTGGTGCATCCTCACTGAAGCCAATGATACCTGCAGGGACGCTGTTTCCACGTGAGCTCATACTGAGAGTCCAGGTAGACAGGAGTTGGGGGGGGGGGCCTCTCTTCACCCAGGACAAGGAAATGGACAAGAGGAGCTCATGTTCTTGCAGCCTGGCACCCCTCCCGGCCCCCACGTTTCGAAGGGGCTCTTGTGAATGGAGTGAGGACACAGCCCTTAACCTCCCCGGCCACCTGAGCCCGCCGGACGTCACTGTCTCTGATCTTCGGCATCTTCCCAGCCCTCACACTCCGCTTTCTCCTTTTTCTCTTCTGTCATCTTTTGCCTCTGTCCTCCCCGTCCCTTAATGAACTGGCTGGAATACACAACTGGCTAGTTCATTATGTTATGTTTCCTACCCTTCATTCGGGTTGTGTGCTCCCAGGTTTCTGAGAGACGGTGTGGAGGGTACTTCCTGTTCTCTCTCCTTCAGAGAAGACTGAAGGCCTCCCGAGCCCCCTCCGGGCTTCATCGGGGCTCCGTGGATTCCCTCCCCAGGCTTTTTTGGTATCCCTAGGAGAAAGCCCCACTTGGCAGCCCAATTCCTCTCCATCCTGGGATGTGCTCCTTTTCCTGGAAACTCTTGGCTTGAGGGCCTCTGGCTGAGCCCCAGAAACTACTCCATTAGTTCCTGGTGCCACTGACACCACTCCTTAGGGATGGGGTGGTTCTAGCCAGAACTTGCTGCTCCAAGAAACTCCCCACTGCTGGGCCTCGAAGGAGCACGGGGTGGGTCCTGGAAAGAGGAAGCAGGACGGATTCCGGTGCCTCCCAAAGCCAGGACAAACCCTGCGCTAGAGCCTGACAAAGCCCCTAGCAGCCCCGTCCTGCCAGGGCCACTAACCAGAAGCCGAGTTCCATCTGCAGTTTGCTTCTCTGGCTGTATGAAAACAAGAGGGCCCGAGGAGAAGCTCTTTTATTTATCTTGAAGCTTTTCTCCAGGATCATATCAATAGGCCATGGGCACCGCACTTAAGGTCTGGTGGCTTAGGAATGACCCAGAAGGTGTAGACAACCACAGGCGGTGCCGGGCCCGGCAAGCCATTCACTGAGCTGCAACTTGTTACTTCTTTCCGGGCTCCTTCTGGCCCCTACTGCCTTGCATGGGTTGAAAGGCTCAGGCTGAGCCCCTGGGTGCCCCTTAGCCTAAGGGAGGTTGTCCTGGGGAAGGAGCAAAGGTATTTCAACAGGCACAGGAGAGTCCCCAGAACTAGAAGGAGTGAATCACTCGGACCCGCTGCCGCCCTACAATAGAGGCTGTGTCCTTGGATGTGTGTGACCACAGGGGTGCCAGGTGAGCCTGGACACTGGGTCCCAGGACTGGCAGCCATGGCCGAGAACTCCATGCACCCCAAGTAGCAGGCAT